CAGCGAGCACAGGGTAATTCTGGGAGTCACCTGTGCTCTACGGAATTCAGTGACGACTGTGGCCAAGCCCGCTTCAGTAACTGCTCAGAAGCACTGATCTGACTGTGAAGGGACATAAAATATATCAGATTAGGATAGGGAGCAGAGAATGGGGAGTATTAGAACAACAAACGCAAAACCTACTGATGTTTTTCCAAAGGCAGTACACATTCCATTCCGCAGATTTAGGGAGACTACAGAGCTAAGTGATACTTTTGGTGTGGTGCTGTGGCTTGCAGCATGAAAGGCACAGACTGGCTCCGATCCAGACACTAGAGTTTCCGCTGGCCAGGGACTCTCTCCCTCTTCTCAGTCGGCTGTGCCCCCATTGTGTGTTTAATTCCCATCTTTTCAGATTTTACAACAGAATAACCTCTCCACTCTAATCTGAAATTATTTATTTATGCTTATGAACCCAAATGGATAACTGGTTTATTTATTTATTTTTTCAAATAACATTATCTGAATAGGAATTCACACAAGACGAGGCAAATGTAATTTTGAGGTAAATGTCCTTTTCCCAGCTGTTGCCTGATTAATTGTTCTAAGCCAGTCTGTAGTCTGTTGTCACCCTGTGGAGTACAAAATCTATCCCTTTGTGCACTAATTAGGTGCCAGGTGTCTTCCTCTGACAGTCCCTGACTGGCACTATGAGGCCCCACCACTGACCTTTACAATCTTATCTGCTGCTATGCCTTTCTGCACTGGTCCAAATTCCACTCACTCCCCTCCACAGCCTATATCAAACACCTCCAGCCTGATAAAATCATCCTGGTTCTCTTCCAAGGGAAAAGTCCCCTCAGGTTTCTGGCCTTACACTCTCACTTTTATATCCTTCACTAGGCTCAGGTTGCCGAAGAGAGCTTAGCCATGGAGCTGGCCCAAGCCTTCAGTGGAGTGCTGGCTGACCCGGGGTGGCCCGATCTGTAGCCTCCGGGGAGCAGTTACACACTGCAGCTGAACTGGGCTGGGCAGACCAGGCAGGCAACTGGACTCAGCATCTACAAAGTGCTCTGGGAGAACTGGGAGGAGAAAGTTACCCACCCAGAGTCATCCTCCACTAACACTTCACTCCGGTGGGGCTGCCCATCAGACTAGCCCCAAGCAAAGGGGGCATGCCCTCCATTTCAAGTCCCTCACCTCTCCTGGCTGACCTTCCAATGCCCTTCAACCTCACATCTGTTTTATGCGTATCAGTCTAGAAATTAGAGCCAAACCATTATTTCCAGTGGTACTTACACTGGGAGTTTTTTGTCATGGAGCGTGGTAGACAGAGAGGGAGGGAGAGGGAGGGAAAGTGAGACTCCTGGGAGTGAGGGGAACGCCCTGCTGCAATCTCTTCTCCATTCACCTCTCAGATTCTGGGCACACACCCACCTGGTGTGATTTTCAAGCAGCGGTGTTTGTCCATGTGGGAATCTAACGCCTTAACCACCATGCAACCTGCCGGCCCCCAAGGCTATTTTTCAGATAGGGATTTGGGGCTCAGGGACCAGGGACTTATCCAAGGTCTCTCCCAGGAATGACTTAGGGCTCCTAACTTCCACTGCAGTGCTCTTTCTAAGACTCCCCCGACAAGTTGTCTGAGCTTCAAAAGATAAAAGTGATGTATGTCCTGGGACCAGCAGTTAGCATAATGGCTATGTCGCTGGACTCCCATGTAGTCAACCGTGGTTCGAGTCCTGGACCCGGTGGCTTAAACTCACGCCAGGCGCGTGTGCGTGCATGCCCAAGATCCAGAGAGGAGAATGGAGAAGGAGAAGGGATTGCGGCGTGGCCACCCCCCACCCCCCCACCCCCGGGTGATTTCCTGCCTTCTGTCTCTCTGTCAGTCTCTGTCTGTCTGGCGAGCGCACGCGCCCTATAGCAAAAACCTCTCAAAAAAAAAAAAAAAAAAAACTAAAAGTGATGTGTGTCCTAAAACACACTCACGGCGAACGGCGTTTGGACTGCGTCCGCAGGTTGGAGAACACCTAACCAAAGAAAACCGGGGGCCAGAGGGGCACTTCCAAGTCCCGCGCAGGCGCTGGCCACCCACAACCGACAGTTTCCAGGTCCCTCTCGCAGCCAGCTCGCTAGTAAATGCGTTGGCTGTTTCTGTCACGGTGAGGCCACCGTAGGGCACCAAGGGTAAGTATCAAGTATAGCGGAGCTAGGAAGCCTGATGACAGGTGTGACGGCGCGGCCTCTACCTGCTCTGCGCGGCGGACCGCTTGCCTGGAGGTGTAGGCCTGCGCCCGGGTCGTGGGCCCGTAGAGGGAGAAGCAGCGGGGCGGGGTCGCCCTCACGTGATCCGAGCGGCGCGAGCGCGTCT